CCTTCCTTCCTGCCTTCCTTCCTGCCTGCCTGCCTTCCTTCCTGCCTGCTTTCCTGTCTGCCTGCCTTCCTTGCACCCTCCCTCCCTCCTTCCCTCCCCCCCACCTTTCAAATATCCTCTTTATTTGTAGTTAGGTCCCTTTTTCATTCCTGATACTGCTTGATTTTTTTAAAAAATAATTTAATTTTTTGGTTGTTGTTGAAAATATACACAGCAGACCATACCCCAATCCCACAGTTTCTACACGTACAATTCAGCAACACTGACTACATTCTTCGAGTTGCACAACCATTCTCACCCTTTTCTTCCGAGGTGTTCCTACCCCGTGACCATAAACTCACCGCCCCCTGGGTTCCTGTCTAACCTTTCGAGTTGCTGCTGCCCACCTGACCCCATGGAGATCGTTCTTTTCCACAGGCTTTCCGACGCCTGTGTTTTAGAGCCGTCCTCCTGGAGCCCCAACCTGGAAAAGGCTCTTGGCCATTTCTGCCCAGACTATGCTCTGGCCTTGTCATTAGAGGGCAGCAGACCCTCAGTTATCCCTCAGGATGTACTGTTCCCACTGGATAAATCAGACACGGTCTGCAGCCAGATAAAGCATCGTAACATGCATTCTTCACTTGACCCTTACAGCTCGGGACAGATGGTGGCCAGGCTCCTGGTCCCCATTTTATAAGTGGAACCGGGACACAGAGAAGCCCAGGGTCCTACCCAAGATGACCCAGCACGAGAGATGATGAGCCTGGACAGCAGCCTTGGCTCTGAGACCAGGACATAAGCCCCTCAACCCACGGCCATAGAGACGTCATCACAAAGGAAGTGGACTCCACGTGGCGGCAGTGGAGGACCCGCCCCGCAGCTCCACGCGCGCCTTCCAGGCCCACCCCCCCACCCCGTCACCTCACCTCTCATGTTGATCACTAAAGCCTTCTTCACCGTCTCAGTGACGGTCCTCGCGGCGTCGCTCCTGGAGGGGATGTATGCCAGCTCCCAGGTGTCTCTTGGAGGAGGGAAGTTGAAGAACAGCGGTAGCTCACGGATGGACTGGCCGGGGTATATGGTGGCATTGGGGACGTTTTCTGACTGGATTTTCAAGCGAAGCCAAATCAGGATCCCAGAGAAAAGCAACGGCAGAAAGATTTCCAAGACCGTGACGATGACCTTCCGTTTCTAGAATGGAAGGTGAAACTGCACATTGAAGCCGGTCCGTACTGTGTGATCCCAACTGGATGACATTCTGGAAAAGGCAAAACTATAGAAACAGTGGAGTCCCTGGGTGGTGCAAACGGTTAACTTGCTTGGCTGCTAACCGAAAGTTTTGAAGTTCAAGTCCACCCAGAGGTGCCTTGGAAGAAAGTCCTGGTGATCTACTTCTGGAAAATCAGCCACTGAAAACCCCATGGGGCACAGTTCTACTCTGACACACATGGGGTCACCATGAGTAGAAATAAACTCGACAGCAACTTGCTTTTAAAGAGATAATAAAAAGATCAGTGGCTGCCCGAGGCTTGGGGGGCGGAGGACATGAGCAGGGGAGCCCAGGGCATCTTCAGGGCAGTGAAACTATTCTGTAGGCCACTGTAATGGTGGACACAGGGCATCATGCATTTGTCAAAACCCACAGGACTAAACACCACAAAGAGTGAACCCTAATATAACCTAGGGGCTTCAGGCAATAACATATCCATATTGGCTCCTCGACGGTAACAAACGCCCCACAGCAATGTGAGCAGTCGACAAAAGGAGCAGCAGTGTGAGGCGTGGGGGGAAGCAGGTACGTGGGAACTCTCTGTACTTTCCCTACACTTTTTCTGTAAATAAAAAACCCAGTTCTAAAAAATAAAATCATGAAAAAAAACTGCCATTGATCCAGGGCCAAATGGAGGGACAGGGCCACAAAGTCCCCTCCCTTGAGCCCATCTCTGGGTCCAGGCTCCTTCCTGGCCCACGCCTTGTGCCGCCCTACCTGCGGGGCCGCCCTACCTGCAGGGTGTAGTTCTTCCAGAGAAGCAGCGCCAGCTGCCGGAGCACAGCCATCTTCCTGGGGGGATGCGCAGCTCTAGGTGCCGACCAAAGACAGAGAATCGGGGGCGCGGTGGAGACAGGAGGCGCTTGGCCGCTAACCAAAAGGTCGGCAGTTTGAATTCCTGAGGCCAACTCTTCAGACAAAGATTGGACTGGACTGTGGGACATAAAATGATACTCGTGAGGAGTGTGCTTCTTAGCTCAAGTAGATACATGAGACTAAACGGTCAGCTTCTGTCCGGAGGTGAGATGAGAAGGCAAGAGAGGGTCAGGAGCTGGTTGAATGGACACGGGGAATCAGCGGTGGAAAGGAGGAGTGTGCTGCCACAGTAGAGAGAGAACATCTAGGGTCACATAACAATGTATGTATAAATTTTTGTATGAGAGACTAACTTGAATTATAAACTTTCACTTAAACTACAACAATTAAAAAAAAAGAAAAAAGGTCAGCAATTTGAACCCCACCAGTCGCTCTGTGGGAGAAAGATGCGTCAGTCTGCTTCTGTAAAGATTACAGCCTTGGACACCCTATGGGGAAGTTCTGCTCTGCCCTATAAGGTCGCTATGAGCCAGAATCAACTCAGTGGCAACGGGTCTGGTTTTCCGTTTTAGTGGAGACGGGGATGGTGGGGGGCGGGGGTGGGGTGCAGGAGGAGCCAACACCAAACCCAGTTCCTCCTTCTCCAGGGTTTCCCCTGCCTCTTTTATACCACCTTAACTCAAGACAAAGGAGTCCTGGGGGCGCAATGGTTCAGCGCTCAGCTGTGAACTGAAAGGTTGGTGGTTCAAACCCACACAGCAGCTCGGTGGGAGAAAGACCCGGCCATCTGCTCCCATACAGATTATAGCCTACTTAAACCAAAAACATGAAGTCTTCTCAAAACCAAACAACAGTTTAGCTCAACTAGTAAAGAATGTCTGCCTTGAGCATTGTGCTCTTTTAAGAACTATCTATACGGGATTGAAGTGACAACAGCAACTTGAAACACGAGACAGGAAATTTAGCAGGCAGTGCGTTTAAGCTAATGGGGGAGGAACAAGTCAGAAAAGGAGGGTCGGAATGGTTGCACAACTTGAAGAATGTCATCAGTGTCACTGAACTGTACACACAGAAACCGTTGAACTGGTGTATGTTTTGCTGCGTATACTCCCAACAACAACAACAAAAATAAAATTAAAAAAAAGTACAGCCTAGAAAACCCTATGGGGCAGTTCTGTTTTGTCACATGGGGTCACTACGAGTCAGAATTGACATGATGGCACCAATAACAATAACTCAAGACAAGAGCCCTTGAGAGAAAGACATTAGGCCCTGAGCTACCTTAACGTCTCAAACTCTATTCTGAACGTTCAAAGAACGTGAATGCTTTCTGGAGACTGTCTGGTTTTCTGACCCAGTGTGCATGCCTTTATATGCGACGTGGCTGTTCCAGTGGTGTTTGCCATTCGATAAACACGACTCAGATTGTCTTTGTAGTTAATGTGAATTTGCGCTTTATTAGCAAATTATTCAGGCTTATGGAATTCTTTGCCGGGACTGGCTTTATCCTCAACCAGCGAGAACCAGTAAAAGGAGACTCAGTTTAGTGTCCTGGCTGCAGGGTGACTTCGAAGACTTGGAGAGGACCGTGGGAGGAAGGCTGGAATCAGGGCCCCCTCAGGGGCCCTCACTGGCCTTGCTGACCCAGGAGCAGGAGGTGAAGGAAGGATGATCTGGAGTCACTGACCCTCCCGCCTCCAATCGTAAGAACTGGTTTTTCCCGTTGTTACTATGGGTACTGACCTCTGAGCCTCCTGCCCAAGACCGGCCACTTTCGTCTTTGTTTGACCACTTCTCCAAAGAAAAGGCATCCAAAAAAAAATCTATCCGATATCACACAGAAATGTACTATTCAGAGCCGGCACGGACACCCGGGAGAAAGTCCACCAATGCAAGTGACAGCGAAAGCAAGGGCCTGGCTTTATCCAGGTGCCCCCGATATGGCTGAGTCCATCCAACTAAATTCCAAATGTGGGAGCAGACACAGAGCCAGAGGCCTCAGGTGCTGACCTGTGAGAGAAGCAGGTGCTCTGGATTCCCTCAAGGAGACCCTGCGGCAGCCAGGAAGTGGAAGGGGCTCGTTCCAGAAGCTGAAGGCATGGGGACGAGGTGCAGACCTGGCAGCTCTGGTCTAGGGTGGGCACACAGGGGTTCTGGTCATCGTCCACACGTGGGGCCTGCAGCAAGGAGGAGGGGGCCCTTCAAGGGGAGAAAAGCCAGTGACTCCAGAGGAAGAGCTTCAAGGTCAATTCCACATTCACAGCTGATCTAACTGCACCCCAGCCATTAATCAGGTTAATACAGCACAGAACACTCAAACAATTAGTAAATCGTTCATTAAATAACGTGCACTAACCCTACTGCCAAAATAACCCTCCTCGAGACCCCAGGGCACAGGATGAGAGGTTATTTGTTGCATAAAAAGGCTAGTTTTACTTTGTAAGGAGCTCTGGTAGTGCAAAGGGTAAGCGCTCGGCTGCTAACTGTAAGGTCAGCAGTTCAAATCTACCAGTGGTTCCATGGGGAAAAGGCCTGGTGATCTGCTCCCAGAAAGATTACAGTTTAGGAAACCCTATGGGGCAGTTCTACTCTGCCACGCTGGATGCGGCATAAGCTGGAAACTGGACGGCATCTAACAAGAAGAAGGTGGAAAAACGATTAAAATCAGTTGCAGACAATCAGGAGCCACGATTTAACGGCACACCAAGGCCAGTGGTTTATGAGAAGTTTCTGGAAGTGGTTTAGACTGCAAGGGGAGGACAGTGCCTTGGGCTGGGACCCGCTGTACCCATAAGGGCTAGATGTACAGCTAGTGTGGCCGCGATAAACTTACTCTTTCCACCAAGAAAGGGATCTAAAAAGGTCACAGTTCAAAGAAGTCTGGACAGAGAAGTAGGTGAGTTCCTTCTCAATTTCTGGAAAACCCCGGCCAAGAGGAGACAGCCCGTGTGAATCCCGTAACAAAGACAGACCATGTGCCTTCCCACATGCGCCGGCGAAGCAACATCTAAGGACTGACCTGTGTCCAAGGAGAGGCTTCTGGTGGCGGCTCGTCCTCCGGGCTCACAGGAGAATGGGCCGGGAGGAGGCGGCCCTGGGCAGCAGGCCCCGGGGCGGGGCTGGCAGGCCTCTCGAGCGTGGCAGGGCGGTGTGGGTGTGCCAGGGCACTGACGCCTCGCCAGGCATCCGGCGGGGCCTGGGGGTCGCTGGCATGACTCACTGGCACCTTTGGACAAACGGAGGATGTTTAAGCAGAGTCCAGGAAAAACGACCAAGCCCCTCTGACCGAGTTGGAAAATAAAAGAGCAAAATGGATGGTAGGGATGGTACTTACAACAAAGCAGAGATGCCAGCACAGCACAGACTTAGAAAACGGACTCATAAGGGAGTGCTCCTTGTGCTCCCCAATACATGAAGCTACAGGGAGCTCCTCTGTGCTGTGCGTTTACACTTGCTGTATAAAGTAACCAAAACAAGATGCCCTCTCTGATCATGGCAACCCCGTGTGAGTCAGAGCAGAACCACACTCCATAGGGTTTGCAATGACTGACTTTTTGGAAGAAGATGGCCAGGCCTTTCTTTCGAGGCACTTCTGAGTGGACTCAAACCTCCAACCTTTGAGTTAGCAGCTGAGTGTGCTAACTCTGCTGTATAAAATAGGCTTATCCAAATATGTTATATGGGTACACACGCCAGCCACATCTCTCTCGCCTAGATTCGTGCAACAGCCTCACAACTGGGCTGTGGCTTCAGGTATCATTACCGTTTGGCACACTGGGTACCTGTGCAGGATCACGCAGTAAGGACACGGCAGAACCGGGATTTGAACCTCAGTCTATCCGAACTTACAAGTCTGTGTTCTCAACCAGTATGCTACATCACACCCTTGCGCCTCCTGAAAGTAGTGAACACCTTATAAACACCTTTACATATTGCTCCTAGATAGACATCATAATAGGAATCCAAAGGAAAAAGTAATCCCTCAGGTCCCACCACCCTAAAAGAGACTGTTTGCTCCTGTATCTCCGCAGCACCCGGCTTGTTTCGCACAGGTGGGGATTTCTCTGCTCGGCTCCCCAAATCTACACTTGTACCTGCTTTTCTGAGTAAAAAGAATCTCAAGGAGATGCTGGGATTACAAAATCTGGAGAGCCCTCTGGTTATGACAGCAAATGTACACGAAGAAGAGGAAGTTGGAGTTCCCTGAAGCACTTGCTGCCAGGGTACACAGGGTTCTGAGAATCGACGGCCCAGGCCAAGCTGGGGATGACTTGAAGGCAAACATGTAGGGCTTTGGGTCATTTCCCAAGCCGCCACCTCCGGCCTGACGAGAGCGCCTCGGAGAACTCCCCTCCAGAGGGCTGGCTTGTTTTACAACTCCCGGGAAAGAGACAGGAAGGGCGGGGACGCATGGGGTTTTTTTCCTTCCCCAACTAAAAACTTGTTTGCTCACTGTTGAAATTTTAATTATTACACACACCATCGAGTATTTTGGTGTTTGGTGTTTAGGTGAGCAACCGAATCAGCCCGGCACAAGTGCATACCACGGGCTGCTAAGTTCTGAGAGCTCTCAGCGGGACACGAGACTCCCCTGAAAATGGGTTTTCCCGTAACAATCATGAATGCCAGCGGTACCAGTACTGCTGGTTAGTAAGCACCCAAGATCCTGCACCCGCCAACTGCTCCAGACCACCAACCCTGCTGCCGTCAAGTCGACGCCAACTCACAGCGACCCTGCAGGACAGAGCAGAACTGCCCCATAGGGTTTCCAAGGCTATAATCTTTACGGAAGCAGACTGCCGCATCTTTCTCCCGCGGAGTGCCTGGTGGGTTCGAACGCCAACCTTTCGGTTAGCAGCCGAGCACTTTAACCACTGCACCACCAGGTTCCTTGCCAACTGCTCAGTAGAGCTTTTTAAACAACAAAATGCTTTGCAGTGCCAAATACTTCCACTTTTTTTTTGCACTATGG